CTCCTTGCGGGCCGCCAGGCCCGCCGCTGCCACTGCTCCTCGGCGGCGCCCCGGGGCCCTGGCAGGGGTGGTTCCGCTGCTCACCTGAAATTCCCGGGCAACAGCGATTCGGGGGTCCTGGAGGAGCCCCGGCCCGCGAGTGCCGCCCTTCTTCATGTCCCTCCATCCCGGTCTGGGGGCTCTGCTTGCGCCCTCCGGCCCGGAGTCTTCCCAGCAAAACGCTGCCCGTCGATACCAAGTCGGGATCTCTGATGGCATATCCGGGAGCATCTCCCTAAAAGCTCATGCTTTGCATACACCGAATGACTCGGTTTGCGGCCACCATGTCTTTGCTCTGGGGAAAAACTTGCATTGATAGCCCTTTTTGGGTCCTCATTCTGCCCCACGTTGTGGGAAAAGTTTTGCCTTCTCTATCCCTTTCCTTTGGGGCTTTGGAATTTTTTTGCACATGTTAATTGAGCTTTGCTGGAATGGGATGAAAATACCTTTTTTCTGTATTAACGCATCAGGGAAACTGAAACTCGGATGTGCCAGGGTGAGTGGCTGCCAGCAGGTCTGGCGCAGCCAAGGGACCTACAGATACTGGTTCTGAAACTGTAACTTATCTGACGTTTCTAATAAAATGAACAGTTGGTTACATTTTTGTATCCCCTCATTTTCTGGAGACTCCGCACTTCACTTGTGTAGTTGAGACTCTCCTCTTTAGGCCTGGTGGGAAGGCAGTGGTGTGGTCTGAGAAGGAAAGGGGGTAACAGCAAATGTCTCATTTGATGCAGTGTCTTTGACCATAGGGTGTTGTAACCTGTAACTGTGAAACTTCTTGTTTTCCCTAAGCCCTGTCTGAGTGCGGCACTGTTGGCCTGAGGTGTAAATGCTGCTCCCTTTAATCCTAGTGCTCCAATGTGGACTGGTCACCACGTGCTTTGGCTGGAGCTGCTCTTTTACCTCCTGGTGCAATGTGTGCAGGTTTGCTCTCTGAAGAGAAGAGATGAAATGCTTTTGATGAGAACAGCTTTGACCTGGGAAACTTGCATGCAGCTGTTTCCCAGGTCAAAGCTGGGAAACATTGGGGCATTGGGCATGGGGGTAACCACGTTCTGCGGTTCAATGCTGCCAGTGAGCTGATCTCAAGTTCATTGACAACATTGAGGAATAAGTTACCAGTAGCCAAGTCCTCTTTCCTCAAGGCTGCTGTGGGGTCTGCATGGGGACGCCCCCTCACCTGACAGTCTCAGCAGAGTCAGGGCCTGGCTGAGGTTTTTATCGTAGATATTTTTCTTATGGGATTTTTGCACATTAAAGGACAAATACTTGCGTTACTGGTGGCAGCGATGCAGCTGGG